ACACTGTTGCCGCACAGGAGCTGCCCAAGTGGAGAATGGCTGGCGGCAGGGTTCTTCAGGGCCTCGTTACGCGTCGTGCCGCAGAGGTCAAGCTTTTCAAGACCGCATCCTCCAAGCAGGCATACCCAAAGTGCTCTTAAGCAATATTGTTCTCTAGTTTTCTAGTCTCCTCATACTCTCTCTTTTGCTTCTTTTGTATAAATCCCAATAACCTGGTTTGCCTGCAAATGCAGCAAATGCCTTTTTGCGTTTAAACTGTTCTATGGCTATTAAAGCAACGACCAGATTCAAAGGCTTTCTGCTGTATATCATTATCAAGACGGCTATTGCATGCGCATTTGAGTATGTGTGCGCTGGTGTTCAGGAGAGAATAGTTTATCAGTAAAGAAACTCACAACATCTCTACACTGCTTTCTTTGGTTTTGCCAGTGCAAAAGTGCTTTGCATCCTTCCGACTAGACTACTCAATGGTTCGCATCTTTTCTGAGCTGATGGCTACCTGAATAAAAAACATAGCTACCACCACAGGCTTTGCATTGGCGATATACAATAAATAGACAATTGCTAATGGTTTTTTGCCTCTCGTATGTCTCTTTTTGGTAGCTGTTCTAACAATGTCTGCTGTTTGCTGTTTGTGTAAAACCCGCAATATGCATATAGTGAAATAGAAGAAAGAAACATTAACAAAAAACCAAACTACACATTGTGTTGCTGCAGATACTCCACTCTGACACGCTGGTCCCTGTATTTCTTGTGCCAGTGGTTTTTGGGCTTGTCCAGACTACAAAACATTTTCTGGTCAACAGAGTTGATAAGCATTCCCAGAGCAATGTCCTCGTGCGAGTGGAGATTGGTGGCATAAGGCAGCTTTTGGCATATATCGTCAAACACAGCCCGCTTGAATATGTAGATCTGGCCAACCGGCCAGTAGAAGGGATAGTTGACGGCTATTCCCCCACCCACCTGGCAGTCTGTGGAGCCCATTGTGCGGATAATCCTCTCCAGCTCTGTTTCAGACATGATCAGGTCGTCGTCTATTTTGACGTAAAAGTCGGTTCTCTTCATGGAATTGCACATCACCTTGAGCGAGTCCACCAGCTTTGAGGACAGCGTTCCCCATCTGTACGACTTTTCCAGATGGATGTCGCATCCCTCGACCTTGGTATCGTTGTCACAGAACTTTATGGCTCGCTTCTGAAGCGTAAACAGATCAAATAGGGGGCTGCTGAAATCGCCACGGAACATAAACACGGTTGCTGTAGCCTTCTTAGGAGCTGGTCTGACTGGAGCTAGCGCGCTGAGCTCCTCTGCGTATGGTAGCGGCGGCACCTGTGTCATGGCTTTTGGATCATCCGACCGGAATATTGGGTTGCTTGGAAGCCGTGTGTCTGCAGAATACAGGCTGTGGTGAATGGCCTTCAGCGTGACAACACTCACTAGTGCAAGCAATAGCAGCAGCAGCTTTGGTTTTGAAGACATGGTTGCGAGACTGGGCGTAGTTAAAGTGTACAACGGAATAAAAGCAAATAGTAAGGCCCAATGGACATGTGTTGTAATTGGTAATGTGGTTTGGCGCTGTCTTTTGTTTTTATGGCGTGTGTATGGCAGCAGAAACAACTGGCAAATAAATGAAAAAGTAGAAATATAAGAATTGGAAGAGAAGAGCAGAAAAAATTGGATGGAAAAGGCTGCTAATAAATGTCTTGGCTTGTGTCTTGTAACCTTGAGGGTTTTTGTAGAAAGAAAAGGGTTCACTGCGTTTGTTGGACGGTTAGAGTTGTAAAGAAAAGGAAGCGTGGTTCCTTGCAAAACATAAAGGTCTCTTGCTAGATTACACGCTCAGCAGACGTGTAATACGCTTGAAACAACGATTTATAACAATGACCTCGATCATCTAAATAGAACGCCTTTTGTTAAGAAAGGAGCAAACAAACAGCCAGAAAAGGACGGATGGAAAATACTGGCTGCCCACTCAGCGCCGAGAGTTGCAAGTGCTGTTCTTACTACTGGAGGCAGACAGTTTCAGCCATGTTTTATTTTAAACCCTGGTTTACACGCATTTTGTGCTTTTATGATGCAGAGAAAGAACCGGCTGATTTTCACAGTGTAACCAAGGGTTTTTTCATCGATTGGGCAGCAGCACACCCAAACAACGGCCCGAAAACAAGCTATTTCGGGCGTTGGGGAGAGAAAGAAATCAAGAGCAATCGGCAAGGCCCTGAAAAGAGTTCAAATGCGCAACGAAGCAGTCCAACTGCGTGTGCTCGCTTGCTTTGCGATGCTCTGCTCATAAAAGCTGTATCGGCGCAATGCGTGCAATTGTTTGCTTGTTTGCTCGCTAAAGACAATGTGTCGTATTTCCTTCACAGAAAAGCAGACCGCTTGCCCTTGGCACTGTGGATCGCAGCACACGCAACGCAGACACAAGAATATCCACGCGATCTTCAGTGGTTGCAGGTGTTTGCGTAATGTTGGGAATTCTGTTTGAAAATACCAAAAACAAAAAACGAGGGAATTTTGGCATCATGCTTCAGCGGAGAAAAACCTCAGATTGAGCCACATAGCCCTTGCAGGAGCTGGCCATGGGTAGTCTGAGCTCTTTCAGCCACAATAATTCCTCTCAGATAATTATTTGCTTGCCAGAGCAGTGAAAGCCGGGCTGAAACCAACAACCAACGGTCCCTCTAGAAATAGGGAATGTGCTTGTGCTTTGGAATGTAGAAAACATGCTTGGAGCCTGTTCCAAATCAACAATCGTCTGTACCAGCAGGTTTTCTTGCACACAAGCGCCAAAGACAACAGATCCGCACACAGCATGTTCTTGCAGTGTGCTCATGTAATGTACTGTTCTGATTGTTGCCATCTTTAAGGATGATTCGGCTCTTTTTTATGCAAAAGATAATAAACAGCATAAAGGATGTGTTTGTTGTAATTGCTCGGTGCTGGAAAAAAGCAATTAGTTTGTCTATTTATTAACACGCTTGTTTATTTTAATGGAGCTAGTGCAAAACATGGCGCACCTTTCTATGTCTGGGTTTTCCTAGAAATGCCCGACTGTTGATGCCAACAGCAAATACAATACAAAAAGCGGGTATTCTAATGTATGAAACAGCTCTATATCCAAGAGACCCGCCAAAGACACTGCTGCTACTTGTAGTTTATCTCCACTCTTCTGTCGCTGTAATGCTTGTGCCAGTGGTTTCTAGGCCAGCCATTGCTGCAAAACATACCCGGGTCGGTAGAGTTTAGCAAAAGCCCAAATGTAATGTCTTCGTTGGGATACACATCAGCTATGTAGGGCATGTTTTTGCATGCTGTCTCAAGGATGCTCCGTGTGAATATGTATATTTGCCCTTCTGGCCAGTAGAACGCATAGTCCAGCGCTATTGAGCCAGTCACCTGGCAGTCTGTGGTTGCCATTTTTCTGATTATCTTGTCCAGCATCGATTCTGACATTATCAGGTCGTCGTCAATCTTGACATAGTAGTCTGTCTTGTGTGGTGCTCGGCACATTATGTCAAGCGAATCAAGCATCTTTAGCGACAGCTCACCATATGTGTAGCTTCTAGGCAGGCGTATGTCACATCCCTCAACTGTAGTGTCAACATCGCAGTACTTTGTGGCTCGCTTGTGAAGAGTGAACAAATCGTAGAGTGGGCTGCTGATGTCGCTGTATAACATGTACACGGCTGTTGTAATATCGTCTCTTGGAATATATGCTGGCTCTAGCTTGCTTAGCCCTTTGACTTTGGACAATACGTGCATTCCGTTGATATTCTCTTTTAGAGTTATGTTTGTTCTGCTACTTGGATACACATGGTCGGCTGTCTCTTCAGGCGGAGTGTCTGTTTCTGCGAGCTGTAGCGTGCTGCTGTGCAGAGGATGGTACAGTGTGTACAAGAGCACAATCGACGTCAAGCACACCAGTACGCAGCATAGCGTCACAATCCTAAGCGGAGACAAAGCAAGCGACACCATGGCTATTACGACTATTAGCGTGTGCCCAGGGAAAAGAGGTCTATGAGGAGAATACTGCAGCGAAAGGCATAGAAATACTGGAAGAAAAACAGGGTAAGGCGAAGAAAGAGACTAAATTATTTAGAGGCAATGCCTACAAGAGACAAAGAAACCAGCATTCAAGATTAAAGAAGCGAACTACACGGTTAGAATATAGAAAGAGCACACAGGGCAGTCTTTGATGTCCGAAATCAAAAAGCAAAAGAAAGTGGAAATGGAAAACAAGGCAAGACAAGCGAAAATGCGAGCTGCGACTGAAAAAGCTCTTGGTTATAAAAGCACAATTGTCCAAATTCTAAAAACGTCGATATGCAGGTGGAAATCGCTGTGCAGCAGACTTTTTATCACAAATGACATGAAAAGCATTATGTAAAAGGCGGGGCATCTATTTTTGGTGTTTTGGCAGAGGAATAAATAGAGCAACGGCTGCATTTTCTAGTGAAATGGCAATCTTCTTGCAAGTCTTTGGAGCTGCCGTGTAACTAACGCGCTACATTTTATTTCAAACAAAAAGGAATAGCATTGTATTTTTTCTTTGACAAGAATGCTATGTCCGGCATGTCTGTGTTGCTGTTATTAGCATTAGCCCAGTGATTGCTCTAACTAGAACATTTGCTCATGTAAAGCAACAGCGGCAATAGCTAATATAGCCTTTTACAACAACAACATGTATCCCTGTCAGCTTTTAAACAGAAAGTTATCCAATTCTACCACAAGCAGAAAACAATAAAAAGTAAAGCCAAAGTAATGTAGCATGCTAAGCGGGGATTTAAGTGATATCTATCATTAATTTCAGCCTCTCAGCAGGCGATTTAGGTCTGAAATCCGCAATGGTCCAGTGGCTAGGATTCGACGCTCTCACCGTCGCGGCCGGGGTTCGATTCCCCGTTGCGGAACATTCTTTTGTCCTTTTGCACAGCCCAGCGGAAGACGCAAAAAAGATACTTTTACTTTTGCAGAAAAAGCAAAAAGACAATAGATAGTCCGAAAACCCGGATTTGAACCAGGGACCTAGAGATTACAACGCAAGCCATTGAAGGCCAAGCCACTACAGTCTCCCGCTCTACCGCTGAGCTATTTTCGGATTTTCAGGACTCCTGAGTAATAATTGCAGTCTTTTTAGCTAATAACATCATATTTTACTGCTGCGCTGTTGTTGCTACCACTGTTTTCCCCACCCCTTTGGCGTTACTACCCAATGTAAAGACTGTAATAAGTTAGTTATTAATTATATTCAACTGTGTTTATACTGACTGTATCTTCTACATGATGTTAAGCTTTTTAGATTTTCCAAGAAATTGTGTGACAGTGCTGCAAACTCAGCAATGTTTTACTTGGATTTTTAAATAAAAATGTTGAAAATACATCAACATTGTGAAACAGAGCAACTGTCATAGACACTCATCCATGACCAGGCAAAACAGCAAAAAAGCCAACCTCTTAATACCCTTCAGTACCAAGGGAGCCCGAAAAGGATTTATTCAACTGGCATGGACAGTCACACTTGTTCTGTGTTATTAATTGCTACCAATTAAACAATCGAGTATTGGCTGTTTGGCTGTTTCCAGAATCCCAACTGACCAATGATTATGTGAGAAAACATGGAATTAAATATTTTTAATTAAACATGTGCCCAGTAATGTGATTAATAATATTTAAATTTAGTTTGCCATGGTATCCAATGTATAAAAGACAACTATGCCACCACATTCCCACATTATCCTTCATTCTAAAAGCAAATTTCCATTATCACCTTTAACATACAATACATTTAACATGTCAAGAGTAGCAAACAGGGGCCCAACACCAGTATGCCAAAGGTGTGGTAATGGCCATTCAACCCAAGCATGCAAACTCACCAAAGAGCAAGGAAAGCTATTGAAAGCTAGGCAGAGAGGAGTTGAAAGATATTTAACTGATGAAACTGATGTATATCCTTCTGACAGCAACAACTGATAGCACAGGCAAAGTAAGTTAATGGAATTGGAGTTGGGCTTATTGCAGTGGCACTCCTGGAACCATAAAAACAGCAAGAGGAGGAATGTCTAGAGACCCATTGATCCTAAGAGTGCCAGAAAGAAGCTGTTCAACTGGAAAAGCCCAATCATGCTGCATCAGTCCAACACATGGTGTTTACACCAGCATTAGAAAAAATGGCAAGCTGTTTTTACGCTGTGCCAATGGAGAGCAATGCATTTTAAAATCTTTATGTAAAATTCTCAAAGTGCAATAAAAACAAACACACTGCATTTCTGCTCTTCGGCAGAATCAGAAAACGGCAAAAAATGTTGCTCACTACAGGGGTCGAACCTGTGACCTACGCGTTATTAGCACGTCGCTCTAAACCGACTGAGCTAAGCGAGCCGCACGTGACATCCCCTGATCTGGGAGGGCCAGACTAGGTTCTGGCCCGTTGTGTCTTCTGTTCTTCGGTGTTTAGAATATGTACGGCTCTGTTGCATGCCAGCAACAAGACTTTAACGATGGACAAAGTCCTTTATCCCATGCTAGAAACAAGCGGTGGCAGCCTCCTCTATTTCCTGTCTAGTCTAAAGCGCAGGCTTCTTTGCCAATGACCGCTGTCTCCATTAAAACTTTAATAGTCACTGAAGCATGTGAAGAATTTATTACCAGAGAAAACCTCTCCCTTTTTTCCAAATAAAATAACTATTCTTTGTTGCTTAAAACTCGTTTGCCTTGACCGGCTCTGCAAAGTATCCGCCTCTTTCAAGCAGCTCACTGGGAGGCCCAGCCTCAACGGCTCTTCCATTATCCATGACAACTATCCTGTCACTGCCCATGATGGTTTTCAGTCGATGGGCAATTGTCAGCACTGTGCAGCCCTTGAATTCAGAGCGAATAAGCCTATGCATGTCCTGGTCTGACTCTTGGTCTATGCTTGCTGTTGCCTCATCCAGCACAGTGATCTTTCTATTGCGCATCAGCAGTCTGCAGAGCCCCACAAGCTGCTTCTGTCCACTGCTAAGATTGTTGTCCACATATTGGTTCAAACCGTAAGGCTCTGTTTCTATGATATGCTCTTTGTTTAGCTTAGGCTTTCTTACAAACAAGTACAGGAATGCACGCATTGCCCATCCAGAGCTGTTCCACTTTTTGTTCCATCCGTCAATCTCCTTTAGCTCATTGTCATGTTTACCGCCTGCTATTATCTTTTCATCATTGGCCATACTGTGGTTATGTTTTGGCTGCACAAGCTCATCCATTCCACACTTTAGAATAGCTGACCACATATCCTCAACAGTGTACTTGACAAGGGGGTCCATATTCTGCCTATAGCTTCCACTAAACAGCGTTGGATCCTGTGGAATAGTTCCAAGCTTTGCACGCACATCCCTTCTGTTCATGGAAAATGTGTCATGTCCATCGATTAGTATAGATCCATTGCACATGCTCTTATCAACTAGCTGGAACAGTGAGCAAGCAAGAGATGTCTTTCCAGCACCTGTGCGGCCAACAATGCCAATCTTTTCTTTTGGATTGATGGTAAGGTTGATATCCTTTAAAACATACTCCAAGCCCTGTCAATACTTCATGCTAAAATTGTTGAATTCAACTTTTCTGCTCAATGGCCAGCTTTCTTCTAGCATCAGTGCATTATCCTCAACAAGCATTTCATGCTCTAAACTGGCATATCCCCTAAACTTGCCAATTTCATGCTTAATGGCTTTTAGTTTGCTTGGTATCCTTAATGTATCCTCTGCATTAACAACCAGGCCATCAGCTAATTCTCCAAATATTATGAATTCAAGAGATGACAAACCACTCTTAAATGTCTGTTTCTGTATGATCATAATCATTTTACAAATAGCTTGGGACAAATCACCTATAAAATTAAACACAGTTGTTGATAGTCCATCAAATGCCAACATTGTTATTTCAATGTGTTGGTTTTATCCTTTTCTTTAATATACATGGATGTGAATTGTTTTTCCACATTGAAAATGCAAATAAGATGCTGCCCATCTGCAATAACATCTTCTACTTTGCTTTTGTCCACACATGCCTCATTATAAATATCTTCAAGTGCTGACTGGACTTGAGTGGTAGCTCCATCACTCTTACTTGATGCCCAGACAAGCAGTGGTGTAAGGACCAACAGCTGTGGTGCTTTTATTCCAATGTTGTATATTGTTAGGCATGCATGTAAAAGTTGTGACACTGTGGACATAAAGAAATCAGGAAATTCAGCTGCAATATACTTTGTGCTGTTGTTATATAAAAGAGATAGCTCTTGCCTCATTGTGCTATCAAAAAGCAATATAGGTGCATGGATGATACTGTCAATGAATATAGACTTTACCCTAGGGTAAACAATTTTTTTCTGAAATAATAGGTTTTATGTTAAATTCAACATTTAGCAGACATTGAAATACAACCTGATCAATGATACACAACAACAAATAATCAAGTATTGCTTTGTTACTTTGTACATCTGCACTATTGCTTTCATTCAAGGCAGCCAGTTTGTAGCTGTCAAATAAAAA